TTATCATTTCTCCAAACTATAACCCCTCACGTCTACCAAAGTACCTGAAGCTAGGCTATACACATTACAGAAGGACTAAAATAATCATTGTTCTTATACTGCTATAACACAAGCTAGCAATTGGTATATTAAAGGAACCCAAAAAAAAGTTAAAAAAAAAAAACACACAAGTGCAACAATATGTTATGCATACAAAGATATGTGTAAGTTGCAAACTAATCTAAATTCTCAGAATAAAATACAAAAATATGATTTTTATTATCAAAAACCACATGATACTATAGTTGGTTACCCTAAATGGGAAGTAATTGAAAGAACCTTGTTTTTCCTGGTTTTAAATATTATTTCACATTCTACTGGAGCCCAGAGAAAAGTAAAACATCTATTGCTTGGCTTGTACTAGAACTGATTAGTGCTACACCTAACTTTACGCACAAAAAAATCTTCCTCAAAAGTCGGTGTCTATCATAAAGCAGAAACTAACACACCATTGTAAAGCAATTATACCCAATAAAGGTGTTAAAAAAAAATGTGTAATGTGTAAACATTTATCCATTAAATTTATATTTATGCACATGGATGGATTTATATCTAAGCTTGTTGTAGATGCATTGTAAGAGTTCATTATTTATAGGCATCATGGAGATAATCCTTAAAGTAATCCTTTGGAATAAGTGATCTACATGTTCTATAAGTTCAAGTTTTCATATATTGTATTCCTTAAAGAAAACGAATACCAAAAAAGAAGAAAACATCATCTACTATTATAAATTATGATCAAAAGAGCATAGCCTTTTTTCTTAATCTCAAACTTTAAAAATAGTTCCATACGTAAACCAGTATTTTTTCATACAAACCTATGTTCTTGTAATGCTCACAGTTTTTAGTAACCTATATTACTTGGGAATTTTTAGTTAAGAAGATACCAGGGGCTTCCCTGGTGGCGCAGTGGTTGAGAGTCCGCCTGCCGATGCAGGGGACACGGGTTCGTGCCCCGGTCCGGGAAGATCCCACATGCTGCGGAGCGGCTGGGCCTGTGAGCCATGGCCGCTGAGCCTGCGCGTCCAGAGCCTGTGCTCCTCAATGAGAGAGGCCGCAACAGTGAGAAGCCCGCGTACCGCAAAAAAAAAGAAGATACCAGGACAATAAATGACTGTTTTGTATCTTTAGCTTCATTTTAGTCTTCCTATATTCACACCCTAGAGGTTCCAGATTCTTATCCACAAAGTGATTATGGTCTATGACTGAATCAGATTTGTAACAAATGTCTACTGTGATCCTTCAACCTATCATCGATGGGCAGAGCCAATATATGTCTTCTAGCTCACTGAATCCTTTCACCTTACCTTAGGGACTTTCCACAATGCTACACGGTTAGATGCTTGCTTTTACAAATAACGAAAATGAATGAAAAATGATTTCAGAATAGAAAAATGGAAACCCAAATCGTTATATTGTATCTAAAAGCTACCCTGCATCTACCATCTTAGTGCCTAAACAAACATTCTAACATGTATGACAAGGGATATTCTTTAAGGTTTTGAGTTTCATTATCTCTAATTTTATCTGATTACTGACATGCACCATTTCTACTAACACTTCAATATATCCAGCCATACAATAGCATAAAACTTCTAATAGTGATCTACAATAGTCTTGAAACCATTATGATTTGTTTTAAGTTTTTCAGAAAAAAATAAAAGCACAAAGCTAATAAAATGAAATTTCTATTAAACATAATTTTTATAAATATTACCAAATCACAATGAAACTAACAGCAGTCATACGATCATTTATAAAATGTATTTTCCCTCAAAAAATAAAAACAAAAAAGTGTTTCCAAAGAGAGACGAGAAAAAATTACAAAGTACAATATTTTTAAGCTACAAGCGTTACAAAAATCTGTCACCATCTACGTTACAATTCTAGTCATCAATAAGGTACTTTGTTTTCAATGCATTATTCAAAAATCAATTATATCAACTCTTTTGTATAGAAAAGCAGCACACCTTTCAGGCAACTAGTATTAATGAGTAGACATGACTATAGAATATCCATCTGTTTCTCTGACAAAGCTGTGGCTACTCTAGTCACTCGTTGAAATTCCATTAATCTGGTGTACCAAGGTCCAATGCGAAAATCAAAACTCCATCTAACCCTTTATCAGTTCACAATAACCTACAAGTGAACTCTGCCTGTTAGCATGCAGCAAGTTATGATTTTGCTATCAATCAGGCAGTTGGCCCGTAAAAAAAAAAAAAAAAAAAAAAAAAGGCAGGCTGGAAACAGCGTGTCTGGCAGGGTTTGAAGACTTTGTTTTTGTTTTCTGTTTTCATTTCCTTTCAATTTCTATAGGGTGTCTGGACCTTGTGAGATTATGCATTATTCTCCTTGGCTGTGATTTAATTGCTACCAGCAATCAAGTCGAAGCATCACTGAAGTGTGCTTGAATTTCATTAGAAGATATAACTTATGCTACTTTCCTACAGTACCTAATAAACCATAAAGAAACCAAAACACATATGGCTTGAGGGAATAACTGGAAAATTAGGTAGCCATTTGGGAACTGAATGAACTTTTGAACCAGAGGAACAGAGAAAAAGAAATATTAAAGGAAAAGACAAACTTAGAATGCACACAGAGATGTGCAGGTTTGACCTTTATAGTACCTTGAAAATTACATTAGCATTATGAAAAATACATATCATGTTTGTAGTTTATAATCCATCAAAGTTCAGATACTTTGTTAGTGCCTACCATAAGGTAAAAGTCAAAAGGACAAAACAACAATCTGATTTGACAAAAGGCCTTTTGGTGACCTGTGCTAATTTAGTTATACTTGTTGTTAAATGCATTATCATTTTATAATTAATATATCATTAGACTAAGGTCACACAATGAAGGAAAATTTATTCAGCAAAGGAAAGAGAACACATATAACGATTAAGCTGCAGGAAGATAAACTAATATGACTAGATGATATTTTAGAGTGGAAATTAAAAGTTCAAGTGGTAGTTTTAAAATTAATTTAGAGTATTCTTAGAAGAAAATGTAAAATTATCAAAAATAGCATTATTTATATACCAAAAATGAATAATACTAAAAGTTAAATTTTCAATCTAAGAATTGCTTACACAAACACTGATGAAAATGCAATATTTAACAAAAATTTAAATGTTACACATAAATATAATTTATTAAATAATATTCAAATATTGATAATGTTTTAGCAATAAATCTTTTTCATGCTATTAATATATTTTCTTTATATTTGGTTATGAAAACAAACATAATAAATTATTTACTCATAAGAAAAAGACAATAATCCTGTAAATGATTATTTACAGGATTATTTACATGAAATACAACAGCAATTCACTTTTCCTAACAAATCACTGGCTCTCACATATATTTAATTGTTGGATTTCTTAGGTTGTAATTTTTTCAAGATGGCACATACTGCTTCCTGGTACATCAAAATATCTATGCTACTTTGAGAAATCCTGAGCATATATATTCTATGAATATATGCTGTATGTGTATGTATCCATATCTATATATTATCATGAGTATAAGTACTATCTATATATGTATACATACAAACATACTCATTTCTATCTACCAATGTTTTCCAGAGAAGCAAAACAAACCATTGTAATGTGTCTGAAAAATAGTTCAACTCAAATAATAATTCATTGTTTTGCCTGAAAATATTACTTCATCGATTATAAAACATTTTCTAGTAGAAATGCTTTTGAAGATCAGGTTAGAAAGGGTAATGCTCTGTTTCAGATAATAAGTGTGACTGAAGAAAAATGTGCATCTTTTAAAAAAATAGACAATCTAAGAGAAAGAAATTCTTTCCTTTTAAAAATAGATATTAAATGTTAGCCAAAATGTAAAATTCAACATAAAATGGATATGATTATTGTTGCTACACACTGTACAAAGTTCTGAATATAAAAAAAAGCTTGTGTTGTTCTGAATCAGTGGTTAGAATGTTTATCACTTATGCATGTACTTGACTTATCCCTGTTCTGCAGTAGACATAATTTTATACCTCATAAAAGCAATTTATGTTTCCAAAGGGAATAATCTGGATAACATAAAATGTGGAGTGCTCTGTTGCAGGAAGCATATTTTCATTCAGCAATTGTATTTAGAGATGGAACTGCACAGTTTGATCATCATATAGTGGCAGAAGGCATTATTCATTTCTATGTCTATGTGAAGCTTTGAGTGCCACAAATTAATATGCATGGCTAATTTATCAATACACATTCTTAATTTGTACCTATATATCACCCTTATAGGTCTCTATAATTCAGATGCACTCAACTGGGTGGCATAACAGAGAAAGCACATGCTACACTAAAAACAAGTTTCATAACTTTGGCAAGTTTTTAAAAATTAATAAGAAGTAAATAATCAATTTTATTACCATTTCAATTAATACAAAAAACTATAATATTACTGTGTAATATAGGATATTTTTAAATGACAATCAGAAAAATGAAAATGTATTATTAAAAGAAGCATTTGATGGAAACCTGTCTCAATGAGAGAAGGCAATGTAGGAATAATTAATTTAATATTTTATGAACTCATTTTGTATGAAGTTTTCAGGAAAAAAGAGATCAAAAACCTTCTTCATTATTTATAAAATAATGAAATACAACAAGCCATTAAGCAGCACAATAAAATTAAGCAAGAATCTGATAATATCAAATTAACCAACAAACTTACTGATAATGTTCATACGATGATGCAAGCACTCTCCTAAAAATTCAAGTAAAGAAAATTTCCTAGGAAAAGAAAGAACTACATACTTAGGAAAACCACTAGAGAGAGCTCTTCTGTTCCTTAAAAGGTTCTGGTAAAGGTAAGTTAACTGAAGCCTCTGTGTTTATCTGCTTTCTGACAAGACCACCACCTTTACACATTGCACTGTTTTGTGTTAGAGTGTCAAGAGGTATATTGTATGGGAAAATGTCGCATACCATCAGAGGGGGCCTCATCATCTTTATCATATCTTTCTGAGGCTAATGAAATAGTGTCTGGAGGCCCAGCAAAAGGGTCATCATATTCTTCTCCATCTTCTATATAACCTATAAAAGAATCAGAGAAAAAAAGAATGGATATATGTATACATGTATGTATACCTGAACCACTTTGCTGTACACCTGAAACTAACACAACATTGTAAATCAACTATGCCCCAATAAAGTAAAAATTAAACTTAAAAATACTATAAAAAAACAAAAACTAATCAGAGAAAAGTCTTTTATAATTTAGCCATCTTTAAAAGTGTTACTTTGTCAAAGAGGTAAATTTTACTATTAAATTCGGTCACTTTCATGGAAAACCAAAGAAAAATTTTTGAACTAGATAAAAACAGATCCTATTTTAATGTATATTCGCTGTAACTTAGCTAAAGTAAGTTTTTGAAAGTCAGTACACAACTGCTTCTTTCTGTTACAAAAGGATACAACTTCCAAAATTATGATGGTCTCTACAAAGAGGAATTCAAAAAAGTGGAAGCAGGTTAAAACATAGTGTGTAACCAAAACAAACAAAACCAAAATAACAATAACAGCAACCAAGAAAAGCATGGAAAGCACAACAGAGAAAATAATTCAAGTTAATTCCATTTACCTACTCAATAATTGGAAAAATGATGATGAGAAATTGATAATTCAAAGCCATATGAACATTTTATGTTTTCATTAAAAATCACAGATTACATTAGAATAGATTAAAAATACTCAGTTGTGTTTTCAAGAGCAGGAATCTTTTATGGAAAAACTGCTTTAAAACTCATATAAACCTTTTAAATTCAAACAAGGTGATTTACAAACTAGACACTTTCGATTTTGCATTCAGTGATATGTTACTTTATTTTTTCTTGTGTTCTGGCTAGTTTTCTAGATGATTTCCAAATCTTAGGCTGATTGGTTGGCTTGAAGTCATTTAATCCCCACAATAAAATCTTGTGGTTTGGGTTTTTGCCATATACTCATTTAGAATAATTTTTTAAAAGAGTGAATCAAACATTTGCTATATCCCAGTTATATCTAAGCACTCATTCTTCATCCATATTGAACAACAAGGAAAAAGGTATGCTTAATACCATATAAATGATCTGTTAACAATTCAAGTTACTTGTTAAAAATTCAAGAGAAAACCAGCCACCTCACCTAAAAGTCATAGTGAAAAATCTCCATAGGAATCCTACAGTGCCTATAGTATTACTTTTAGATCATAGTTGCTAGGCAGATCCAGATTAAAGCTACCTGGCTCTCCAAAAGGATATCTGTATCCTCTGACATGCATCTGATGGGTTGCACCCTACTTTCACCATATTTTTGGTAGAGGAAAGAGCCTCTTTCAAGACAACACTTTCAAAATAATAAAAACCAATATTCATATCTACTTTTTAAAATTTTGATATTTTATCAGCATTCATCATCCCTACCCTACCCTGAAAGTAAAGATATCTCCCATCAAGACAATAAGAGCAGAATATAGAGATGACTATCTTATTGTCCTTAGTGATTATACCATTATGTGTACCATACATGGTGATGTTTCTTCCCCAATTAAAATTCCAAGAAACATGTACAAATACTACTCATTCTTTGGATCTTAATTTCTCTTTCTTTCAAGATGTTCAAAGTACTTCTCAGAACATTCAGTGATCCCTTACAATATTTCTCTTATGGAAAGAAGAGTGGTCTGATTTAAAATATGAGGTAAGAGAGAACCTCATAAAAAGTGCTAGTAAAAATATGTTTGAACATAAAATGACAGCTCATGGAATACACAGTAGTAAAGATCACAAAATTCTCAACTGCTCAAAATTGCTAGAATATCCTTATATTCTTAATAAAGTAAGAATTTTTACGTTATGGATTTTCTAAGGATATTTCAAATCATGAACTATAAATCTTGCTATGAAAAAAAAAGTATTAGCACACTTCGACTACATCACCATAACTTAGCACTTAGCCTATTACACTATTAAGAATACAGAAATACAACAATAAAGCTAATGATTCTATGGAAAGGATTTTGAAAAAATTCAGATGCTCATGCTTAAATCTATTGAACTCTGAGTGGAATAAAAACAATTTTTTGAGTTTTGAAAATCAGAATTAGTTTATTATCCTTTGATAATATCCATTATATATTTTTGTGTATATATCCATGTATGTACACATACACACACACAGCAAAAACATCATTATTAAAGCTATAAATTCAACAATATTTAATGTAAGTTAAGACCGTTCTACGCAAATTAGTCAGTGACATGTTAAAGACCTCTATGGTTTTTGGTTTTGTTCAAAAAATAAGAACACTTTTTGGATTATAGAGTAAAGTGAAATTGTCTTCAATTTACCCATTCTAAGAACTGCAGTTCATTTCAAATGTTGGTTTTTTAAAAAAAAAATACTGTGATATTTATATTTATCTAAGACAAAATAAATTAAGTACTGCTACTGGCCTCATTTCTCCCCTCCCCGCCCCCCCCCTTTTTAAAGCTTTCCTTGAATTTAACTCAGAAAGTAAAGAATAAGCATCCCTGTGGCATCTGTATAGGGTTATTCCCTTTTTAACTTGCATTAAGTTGAAAAAACACATCATTTTTCAAAATAGTCTTCTTCATTTTACTGTTGTTCCAGTGATGATCCACCCCTTTTCCCCCCTCCCTAATTATATTTTTCAACTCAACAAAGAGCTGCTATATTATAAGGAGCTTTAATTGAACACAGGGGTCGCTGTTGAGCAGTGCAAAGCATTTTTTCTCCCCAGGGGCTGAGTACTTGCAACTATACCTGCAAAGACTTCGATAAATTAAAAGGAAAATGTTCAACTTGTGTTTATGTAATAGAAAACTGAACTCCAAAGCAACAATGGGCATCAGGTAAACGTATCCAATACAATTTACAGACATAATTGAAAGCATTACATCCTAATCAGACATCTAAAAGAAAAGCATGCTCAAATGAAATGTCTACAGAATCATTAGTTGGCAGCCATTCTATTACCATCACACATAATGTCAGTGGTGCCTTGAGCCTGTGCCAATGACAACAGCATAAATTTTGCATCTCATTTCTATGGTCATAAAATTAATGATCAGTTTAAAAATACTTCTTTGTAAAAGTTATTGCGCAAAGAAAAGACATGAATGTGTCCCTGTTATGTACTCAGAAGGATAATTATAGGGTTGTTGCTCATTAATACTGTTTCTTGTTTCCCTAGAAAAGCATTTGATTTATCCCACAACTTTCAAAAGTTTAATTAATGATACAAAGTTAACAGTCTAAAAGACAATGATCCAAGACTTCTTGTCCTGTAATTTCATTGGCAAGTTAAATAACACATCAAAATCAAGGCTTAGGCGTATCACAGCAGCATATTTCTTTGAAAAATATTTTAAAATTTTTAATAGTTGGGTTCAAATTACTATTATCCCTTCTTTTTTATATGGCTCATGGTCAATTAACATTTCCTAAATGCCTGGAGATAAAGCCCAGCAGCAATCCAACAGTCATGATCCCACCATTGAAGGTGATTTAACCAATCTACTGCTTGTTTTAGCAAATACAGTTCTATTTTGAACGCAATCAGGTAAACAGTAAACTAAATAATATACCTAAAATTCAGACAATAACCATTCCCTTTTACAGAGAATGAAATGTAAACTTGGTGGGGAAAGTTACTTGAGTCAAAAATATTAATTTCTAATTTTCTACTCAGTTCACTTGTCCAAAATAATTTCTCAAGTGATAATATACAGCTATGAATGGACATAAACATTTAACTTGTCATTTCTTAAGGGAACCTGTAGTTTAATTCTTAAAAATTTGAAAGATTTGAGTCACCACAAATAAGATTCTCTTCATAACTCTTCTACCATAGAAGGCTAATTTACGGCATGCAAACGTGAGGCAGAATTTTAAAGGAAGGACACCATTCCTCAAGTACTACCTTTGAAACAGACTTCTACTACTATAGGCCCCGTAATCTCAAACATGCTTAACACATTTGTATAAGGCCAGAGATGGGGGGTGGGGGTAAGGGAGCTGCAAGTTATTTGCTCAGATTTCACTGGGGAGCCAACTTGCAACAGAACATATACTATGTTAGGAAGAGTAAAGGAAACGAAGTTAAACGTCATCCAAACTTCTGATTTTTCTGCTGTTCTCAAGGATTCCATCAGAACAAACTAAAATGGGTCCCTTCTTATCTAACAGCCCTGATACTCAAAAAACTAGTTTAGTCCATAAATAAACTTAATAATACCAATGAGGTCAAAGGAAATTGCTTTCTAAGTAAACCTATTCATATTTAACAATATCAATGGAGTTTTAGGATAAAATCTGCTAAATAAATGTTTTAATTTAGAGGAAAAATATTTTAAAGGAGAAAATGAGAGCTTTTTAGTTATGACATCTAAAGAGAATTGAAAACAATATATTCACATTTTTTTTAAGCTGTAGACACCCATATTTGAAAAATATTCTCTTGAAATATTTGTCTCATGTTAATATGCATACCCTTCCTTTAGTAATTTATGGTTTCCTCAAAGTTTATTTGAAAACTGAATTATAAATCAAGATTTACTAAATCCTCTTGATAAATGAACTTGAATCTGAGAATACACATTAATATAACACTTATTGAACACTGACTATGTGTCATGCATAGGTATCTTCACATTATCTTATTCTATAAAGAAAATAATAATACCAAAATCATCACTGGAGTAAAACAAGCCTCATATAAGGGCAAGATACAACTACAAGTAAAACTTGTTTATCATATACCTAATATATATTAGAAAATTCTATTTTATACTCAGTCAGTAACACCTTTACTCAAGTAGTAATATATTTTCATCCCCAAAATAATCATTTCAAGTCACATTTAAGAGCGCTATGACCTTATGATGTGACAGAGAACAAATTCTGAAATAATCATAATTGTAAAATAATTCTAAAATAAGCATAATTCTAGTGCATGAAGCCTGTATTTAGGAGTATACTTTATATTACTAGGCTACATTGTAACTAAGAATAAAAAACTAGGGTTAGATAGTTATTCTGTCATGTACAATATCTAAAGACTATAAGAAGAGATGTGAGAGGAAAGGAAGGAAGGATAACAGACATCTGTGAACATTAAAGTAACTAATAACTCACTTATTTGAAATAAATAAATGTGAATTAATTCATTTTATTTAAGAACTCTCTTCCAGGTCCTTTTTTCTCCCAATAATGATATTAAAATGGTACTTAACCATCATGTAAAAAAAAAAAATTATGTGAAACAAATAGGAGTATAAAGGTAAAAAGCAGGAAAATAGCCTCTGGTCACCTCATTGTGACCCTATATTGACCTGAGAGAGAGAAAGAGAGAGAGGGAAAACAGCCAAAAGGATTTCTGCCCAGGTCTCCTTGGATGAAGACACTCCAAAAGCCCCAAGAAGAAAATGTAAGAAAAAAAAGAAAAGCAGCATTATCAAAATATACTTAGATGAATTCAATTTATTCAATGTACAGATCTGGTTATTAATAAATTCCTGTTCTTAAAAAATATGTCTTTTGAGCAATTGCTTATTCAACTATTAAGCCTGTACTAACTTCCCTTTACTATTTCTAACAAACTACAGAAATAGTCTTTTTAGAACAGTCGAATTATACTTTGAGGGTAGAATGGCATAAAATTACTCAGCTTCTCATATTTCTCCAAGGTATACATCTAATTTATCCACAGGTTTACTTTTGAGCAGGCACTCTTGGTGATTAGTTAACTCAATACAGCAGTATTGAAATACAAATGACTTATTCAGAGGAAAATGATTATGGGGAATCTCTGAATTCTGTGTTATTTGCACTCTTATTCTAGGCTCATTTTTCAATTTCTATCAAATACTATATAAACTTCCATTCTCCTTAGAGACAAAGAATGTATCTCAGTAATGTAATTTTAATATCCACACACCTGAACAAGTCCTAAACCAGAATACCAAAGGGAAAGTTCCTACCCTATTATTGAATCATATGCAATTCTACATATATGACTTTATACTATCACATTTTCTTAGCTTAAAAATGTTTAACATACAAATAATTAAGTCACAGTGAGAGTCCAATAAGTAACCACTAGAACAAAATGTGCCTTTTAAGAAAAAAGGCAGAATCTGATATGCAATATTTCCCCTATAAACAGTGCACTGTATAAAAGTTATCATAATTCAAATGCATAGATTCATTATTTCTATACTCAACTAAGCAAAATACAACATGATTAAACCCACAGTTTAGGATTCATTATAGAGAACAAAGAAGTAGGTACTTGTGGAGAGGAGGAGTTTCCTGCTCTTCCCTCTATTTAACAGTGTTAAAAAATTTAATACGGAAAAAAATCTCTTCTTATTTCCTCTAATCACAACAATTGTGATGACTTAATGTGAAAAGAAACTGTGGTTTCCTTTTAACTGATTTTAGGTTTGTCTGGTTAAGTAGCTGGTTTATTGAAACCATCATTACTCTCTCACTTATCCATTGGCAGAGATATGAGTTACTCTGTGGTATCTGCTAACCCCAGTTAGAAGATGCCACACTGCTTCCCCCAAACTCAGAGCCTAGCTTCACATAGTTAACTGACCTCATGTTGTGACCCTCATACCAGCATCCACAGGCTTCAGGTCATGACCTATGAATTAGCATCATGGAAGTGAGGGCCATACCAAGTTTCCCTCGCAGAACTGAAGACATGAAATAGTAGAAACTTCCTACGCCTTTCTGGATTTGGTTTTCAGTTCGCTAAGCAGCTGTCTCTCAAATCTAAAGGAAGACAATCAGCTTACCAGCATTCTCACATATTTCGAAAAATGAAACTGAATCCCCTTCTTTGAAAATGTCTATGGCATATATTTATTCATATCAAAAGAATCACAAGAATAATAAAAACCAGCATTTGAAAAAGATTTTACTCATGCTCTCAAACAAAAGTTGATACTGTTTTTAAACCAATTACCTTTTCGAAACATTACCTATGAGCACCCAGCCACAGGCCCTCCTGCTCCCATGACCACTATAAAGTAATCTCTACAGGGTTAAATGGTGTTAGGTTGGTATCTCGCCTCTGTCTCACAAAATTCTTCCGTGTGTAACTGCACGTATATACCTTTCCTAACAAACTTCTGCCACAATGAACTCTAAGAACCATAAAACCGAAGAATGTTAAACACAGATTTCTGCATGAAAGACTGTGCAAAAGAAGATTGTACAGAGTAGATTCTAGATATGTTTTTTAATTTTATTCTCAGCAGGGGGAGCTAGCACTCTCATCTTTAAAGTCTAAGTATACAACACAGAAATTTAAATTTTGACTCCAGCTATCAAATTTCAGTATGTGTTAGATTTTCCTATTGAAAATCTCTGCAAGGAAAAAAAAATGTCAAGTTTGACAAAACTTGAAAATTTACCTTTGCCTTGAAATTCCTGAAGGTAGCTGCAAAATAAAGCAAGAACATTATATTTTAAAATAAAGGTTGACAAATCAAAACAAGATCTAATCAATGGCAATAATTCAAGTCTATTTTAAAATCTATATTGTAAATATAGATTTAGAGAAAAAACTACTTCCTATCCTGAAATGATAATTCCAAAAGGCTTATGGATTTATAATAAAGGTATTTTTAAAGACTTAAGTTACAGTAGTAAAACCAGAATATATCTTTAATACATACAACTTAAATTACATTTATTCATTTGAGTGTCTGGAGGTATCTTCCGTATTTATGTTAAAATTCTCAACCTACCTATGTCTTATCAGTTAGACCAAATATATCCTCAAATAATTAAAATAAACAGTTGGATTTTGCTAGAATGCTTAGAAAAATACATAATCAATAGGCTTCACAAAAAACGGTATTATGATAAGCCTGTCTGTTTTTAAAAACTATTATAGTAGAAATATAGTTTGTCCTTTAAAACTACTTCAAACCAATTAAATTAGAACATAAAAAATTTAATCCCACAATAATCAGTCCTTCATTAAAATGTTAATTACAGCGTTTCTTATAAGTAAGAAATAAGTAATAAAAGGCAAGTAAGTGACTTACATAGACTTTACATCTTTTATCTTCTTAATGAGGGAGTCTCTCTTTTCCTTTGCTTTCTTGGATAAATTTTCCCCTCTCAGTACGTCTGCTACAAATGTTTCAACATCTAAACCATGAAATATAAGAAAAAGGATACAAATTATAGGACAGAATCATTTTTTTGTGAAGACAAACAGGACAATGATTGTTTCTACCCATAAGTGTTAGTATCTGTACAATCTGTTACAGTTTTTTATCAATCCAAAGCATAACAGTTGAAGTATGTTTCAAATACTAAATTGGACAAATCTGTTCACCTCTTAGCTAATAAAATGTGTATGCTCTACTTATGCTTAACACAGCGAATGCTATTTGAATGTTTAGCATCATTAAACCAGGAAGAAGCACGCAAGTTTTAATAAACTATGGTGCCCCATAAACAAATTCTCTGTATAAAAGCAAGTGCAGAGCTTTCATGCATGTTACTATCATTTTTTAGTATTTTGTAAGTTCCTGTATGAACAGGTCATTCACAATATTATATCAATATAAGCTAATGTCTCTGGCGAAGGCATCTTTTTCCCAGTGTAATCAATTTTCAGGTATATGCAGCGCTTAATGCTTTAGAGGAAAAACAAATCCCTTTTGCTAGCCAAGATTCCCAAATCAAACCCTCCTCTTTCCTACCTGCCCCACCTACTCTGGCCAGCTATTCTCAAATAAAAAAGATAATCAGTTGTGTGGTTTTGTGTGCTCTTGCTTCCTGCCTTGGCATTACTACCTGGAAATATTTCTTTAAATAAAGGAAAAAGTGGCAAAATAGATTTAGCCACTATTTTAAAATATAGTAACCAAGAGATAAGACTTCTATGGCCTCATATAACATTTTCACAAAGCCTCTTTTTTTTTTTAATTCAGTAAACTTCTAAATCATTCTGCTTTCTAATTCTCTCTGGTATACAATTCCACCAAATCCTTATTGGTTTGATTTTAAAATAGCCCCACTCTTATTGTTCATGAAATACTGTACAAGTTTAAATTAACTTTATATTCAGAATTTCAAATGTCACTTTGAGGTATCTAATGTAGAAGATACCATTAAAATTTTTTCAGTAGGTATGACTATAAACCACCCATATTTCATATTGAAGAGATGTGTATATGTTTTACTTTCTTTTTATTTAACTAATTTGTCTCCTAATTCACACTGATAAAAAGATGGTATCAAAACATACAATAATATTATACTTAATTCAAAGCAGTATAGCAAATAGTCTTTCAACTGTACTTACAATTAGCAACTTAAAACCTAGTATTTGAAATAGAATGTTATAACTGATTTTAAATTCTTGATTACAAAAGTACGTTGATCCAAGGAGTGAAGCTCATTAAACTGTTATTCTATTCATTCATAATAAATTGTGTAAAAGTGATTCTTCACTAAATCAATATAAGTGAAATAATTAAAATTTAGTCTTGGAATAATTTTAAGTAGCTTTCTGGTTTGAAGTCCATCACTGACTAATGTTAAAAGTAACTATCAAAATGAAACAAAAGCAAAATGTCACAGCTTCTCTTTCCTTGAGCTGTCCCTATTTTGAAGAGGGGGACACAGAGACATAATCTAGTACCAGTGCAAATTGGACCCACACTTCTAAAGTGAGTTCAAAATAATGAGACTTATAAAAAAGCACTCTTCTCTCAACTCTAAATTTTGTATGCACCCAGAGGAGCAAGGCAACCTCTGGACATTCAGATATTAGCTGAAATGGAAAAGATCATTGGCTTCTCTGAGATGGCTCCAACAAATCTAAGAAACTGGAGTAAGAGAAGGAGTAGCACCTCTACTGCTGATTCTTTCTTAAAGCCAGACTCAATACTTGGGAGAATCACTGGCATAACGATTGGTAGTTTGCTTAATGTTACTTTCACTCAGTGTTTGTCTTTAATTCCCTCATCCACACGAGTATTTAATTGCCTATTTTACATTTGCATTATACAATACAAGTTTAAGCAAACAGGATCTCTTTTCTATCTCCGGAAGCAATAACAGAACGAATTACAGCCCGAGTTATTTCTTTAAAAGGTCTTTTCAGTTGTATAAAAACTCAGAAAACAAAAAGCTGTAATGCTCTATACAGAGTTTCCTAACAGTGCCAAAAACATTTTTAAATTATTGAGCTATGCTATTTTGTGAGGAAATACTTGTTGAAGGAGTGAGACTGCAGGAAGAATCTGTGTTGTTTGTTTTCTGAGTGGGAGGAGATTCAGAGATTGCGCAAGGGAAAAATTCTATATTTTTAGAGTAGTCAATGTATTTATTCCTAAACTTCTGCCACAAAAGGGGTTTAAGGCAACTGAAAAGATTTAATAAACACTGATTTTTAAAAATTATTTCACAAACGAGATGTGGAAAGCGTACAACCTGCTTTCTGGGTTTTTTTTTGTTTTTAACAAATAAGAACTTCATAGTGGAAGCGATTCCTGCAATAGTCTTCGTTTGTTGGTGCCCACAGACTCAATTGGTTTTCAAGTGTTTGAAATCCGGGTTTTTTCTTAAAATCCATACTGTGCCCATTTACTTTGAAATCGAACGAAACCAGCCTCTCCTAGGCACAGGAGACCCTCTGGACGTGCCCGCGGCCTTCGCCGAGCCCCTGCGCAGAGCCCCGACCCCGTTCCCCCGGCGCAAAGACGTAGCGGGTGCTGGAAAGTTACTCGGCCCTCACCGGGAGATGCTCGGGCTCCGCCGTCCGAGACACTGGGAGTGTTAAACCCCAGGGTTCCCGTCATTGGAGCTGTGAGCAGGGAGCACTGGTTTGGGGCAGCGCCCTCGCCAGACAAATGGGACTGGATCTGCGGCTTTGTAGCTCAGAGCCAGGGTAATATTTCAAAAGCGAGCAATAAAAGTCCTGGGCGACTCAAGCACTCCCCTGGCTGGTTGGAAAAGAGATCTGAAGCTTTTTATTGTGCTCTGAATAGCCCTGCAAACGGTAAACTAGCGAGCGCTTTAGCCCTCTTCTACCTTCCTTTAGGGGTCATGTCCCTCTGTTAATATGTAGATTTCACTGACTCCAGACTGCCTGTAATTCGGGGAACAGCCGTAATTCGATTACAAGAAAAGGTCAGCCTGCCTCCTCGCTGGCCTCTTGGCCTGGCGAGTAAGACAGAATTCCTCTTTCTCACAGGAGGGATCTCGGCTCATCCGCGTCCTCCACGGGAGAGGAGAAGCTTAAGGACCCACCCGGCCACGTGGAGAAAGCGCAGTTCCGGCGCCCTCTAAGCCCCAGGTCTAATCCCTACCGCCGCTCCGCGCTTCGTCACGTAGACCGCAGGTCAGTGCCGGCCGCATTTAACCCCAGAATTGGCCCCATCTCCATCCGCCTCTGCCCCCCAAGTCATCACCAAGGAAAAAGTTACTCAGCGAATACAAATGTGGTGGTGATTTTTGCTCCTGTTACACCTTAGCATTGTCAAAGCAAACCTGATCTCCCGGTACAAATGTAAAGATCTGGGGGAGAAGGCCGCTGGAAAGATCTGATTTACAACCGCTCTGTAGATAAACGTTAAGGTCTGAAAACAAAATTAAAAGATGACATCATGTCTTGGCTCAGCAATCCTCAAGCAGTTTAAGTTAGAAACTTCTCAATAGCCATCGCAACCCCTAAGAGGCAAATACTTAGCACACAGCAAATCACCTAGTGGTACTCAAATTTTCCTTTTTTTTCTTTTCCTGTATATATGGACCCCCTAGAAAAACTGCCACTCATCTCCCCCCTAGAGCCCGAGAGGCTAGGACAGGTATCTAACACACATAAGCTAACAGCTTTCTACCAATTTCCATACTAATTACAGTTTCAAGGTGAAACCACACAAGGTTACGACAGTTTTTAAATTCTTGCAAACTATAAACTGTCGGCTTCTCCAATCTGAGTACATAGCACAGGTTCCAACTCTTTAAGAAAGCCGGGGTTTGACCACTTGCCCTCACCATCCTCCACCATGGAATATGACTTCCAGGCTGGAGGTTGTAAACAAGTCACAGAGGTAGCACCTGGTCTCTTCTGCCTAGTCCTCCAACCAACCAATACCTCACCTCCCTGGGCAGGCATGCAAGTGTGCAGGCACAGGCGCGCGCGCGCGCGCGCACACACACACAGCCTCTGTGATGGCCTGAATTGTATAGGAGAGGGGGCAAGAATTAGAGTGAATCCACTACCACATGCTCAGCCCCAGATCAATGAATAAGTGTAAAACCAGTCAAACCATACCCCAAATGGCTTTACGACTTAATTCCACATCTTTCTCTACCTTATGAATTGGACCAAGTTGTACTTTGTATTCACTGAGGTGCTATCACTAAACTTAACAAGAATCTCAGCCTAGAATTTAAGTTGGCATCAGAAAAAGAGAAGCTTTTCTTCTCTGTTAAAGGAGGGTATGGTCTGACCAAACACCTACTGGTGAAAACATAAAAATCAGTTCAACTGGGCACATGTAGACCAATTAAGCTAAATGCCCAAATTTGGAAAATGGCTAATCAAAAAGTTATTGATAGCTCTAATAAATGTCTTTCTCTTGTTTTCCCAGCACCTTTACAGGTTATGGTTGAACTGTGGACTTTTCAAACATGGAAAAAGAGACAGGAACAAGCACAAGGAGTTCTCAAAGTATGACAGGAAAAACATACCTGAGTCTTACAATCCAATCATCTGATTTACATTTTCAAAATTGGCTTTGGAGGCTAAATGACTTATTCTGGTGGAAAACTGGACTGCTGAAGGATAGAGATGAATATTTTTCACCTCTAAAAGATAACTCGATGAATAGCACCTTATAATCATCAAAATCTCTTTACCACACGTTTTCAAAGAAGCCACAGTGAATAAAACATTAGTCCGAGATTTACACTATATTCACTGTTAGGTATCATGTATTGTAATGTGTTCACTATGTGATTGAAAAAGAAATGTAAACTCAGCGGAATGAAAAAGATAGACTTGGCTTTAATTGAAAAAGACAAACTAAGTGAATAATGAGTATATAAAAACTAGCCTATGCCACTTTTATCACCCATATATGACACTTAATCTTAAATTTATGAGAGACAACTGAACTGTGTTTCAAATCACCAGAGGCTTTTCCCACTCTGATGTTTCTGTCTTCTTTCTAGTAATACTTTAATGCTGATAAAGTAGAGCTAAGCTCATTAGGAAATTTTTATATACTTCTCTCTTTTAGAATATTTAGATTTCTTTTTTAAAAGGAAACCAGTGATCATTTGGATTGGGTAACTATAAAATTGTGCATACTAGCATATTATCAAGAGCTTTATTTAGTAATCTGAGATGAAAATACTTTAAAAGGAATGTCATGAAAAAAAAACAAGACAGCCAAAGATCCTCTCCCAAGAAAAACCAGAATATTGTATGCTTAACATAGGCAAATCATTTTCCTAACATCACATCTTAAGTCATCTATGTTATTTGACCCATACAAGAAACTATAACTTTCTAGTCCCTTGATTTACAAACATATATTCCTATTGCTAGAAGAGAAAAATCTTAGAAGTGTCATGGACTGATTTCACTGTAAGATCAAAGGTTCTCATATCAACTTTAAACTCATTAGTTATTACTGCCAAAATGGGGCAGGCTTGTTCTTGCTCTATAGGAAAATCCAGGTGCTAAAGAAGTAGGTGACTATTGCTGACTCAGTAGGTGGCACTCTTCCCTTTACATACTCAGCCAATGCCCCAGAAGGAAGTTATGGGACACTAGATACACCATAAATGATTCTCATAAGAAAAATAAAACCGAAATGTTGACCAAATTATAAATGGAACTTTGGAAGGGTGGAAATCAAACCACACTATTCTCAGCATTGAAAAAAATTCTACCTCTATCTCAACTGAATTCCGTTCTTTACCTAGTGTCCCTAAAGGGATTATCAATTATGTGTGAAGGTTTTTAAAAATGTCCTGGAAATCCTCAATAGAGGAAAATGCAATATTTCTAATCAAGACTGCCAAGTGAACAAAATCTCAGGGTCACTTTGCACACACCACTCTGTTTATTGTTTGTTTGGTTTGGGTTTGATTTTTCAGAGTATACTAACAACCATCATTTTCTTCAACATTGGTTTCATTTTCTAACTCAATAAAAAGAAACTAACATTTTCTTACAGCTTTCCTTTCTAAATACTGTTGTCCTAAAACAAATGAATGAGAATATCTAACTGCAAACCACCAAGAGTCCAGTATTCAAAGGGCGATTAAACAAATCAAGGGGATTGGGGGTGGGGGGTGGCGAGCAGTGGTTCTAATTCCTCTCACTTTCTTGCCTGCCTGCAGGAAAAACTCACATAAATCAAGATTATTCTCGCTGTTCATCCTAGTCAAAATATTTGGATGTGGGAGAAGATTAAATGGACAAGATTTGGGATAATCCTTTGATTCTAATTATCCCAGCTAAACCTGTTCTTCCATTGTGGTGAAAAAAAATTAAAGGTTGCCTGGAGTGCATACGGCAGTCCCCAAATTACTTTTAACAACAAAAATCTGTAAACCTTTTTCTATTCATGGGACAAGAAAATAATTCAACACTTTTATAAAAAGTATAGGCTATCAATATTTAATATACTGAATCCACAGAAATAAAAGTAACTAATGGTCAAACTATATAGCCACTTTTTCAAGAGCATCATTAAATGTGAGGTAAGAATGATAACCTCTATGGATTTTTGCATTTCTAAAGTATTTTTTTTAAAGGGAAGGAATCAGAAGGAGGGGGGAACAAATATTGAAAAGGAAGCCTAAAACAGATATAATCAGAGGAAAAAATAAAGAGAATAATAAATTGATAAGAATACATTTGAGTACCTACCTCTATCAAGCAGCTGAAACGTCAAACATTTAACACATATGGCAAAATGATTTGGATAAAGGGAACATGGAACACAATGGGAAATGTCCAAAACATTTTTTTAATAGACATTATCTTTTGACTTTATATTCTTTTCTTCTGAAGGGATTTTAATGCCTGAAAAGTTTAGTTCCTTATCTTCTGTACCCTGGAATTCTAGCATAGCGCCATGCATTCTAAGAGTGCTCAACTGTTAGCTACAACCACCACTGCCAATATCTCCTTCTTACTTTCAAAGAAAGAACTAGGTAAGCCAGCAATATCTTTAAAATTCAAACCAATGTCAACTCTTCCTCTATAGTTTTAATAATTTTAAATCTAACCATGTCTTATTACCCAAACACTTGAATAATGCAAATGATCATGCACAATCCAACAGAATTTTTTGGATTAAAAAATGTGAAAAAAAATTGCTCAGAGCACTTATTCTTGAAACCTTTCCTACCTCAAAAAAAGATTTTAATTAAAGTCAACCATAAAATGTTAACCATTTTCTCTGAATGATTAGTTTAAAAAGAAAACTGAAAAACACTGGTTCACTTGTTTCATTTCTTTACAATTTATATCATATATATTTCCTCATAGCCATACCTCTTGAAAATATCCTCTGAAAATAAAGTATAAGTCAAATTTGTAATCAACAAAATTTTAGTGTTTTATTATTTGTTTTTAATACTGCATGTGTTTTAATATGTGATTTGCTTTAAAAGTGTGAAATACTGAAAATGTCAATAAAATGATTTTTAAAACGCTGATTTCAGACATTATGTAAGTATTATTATCTGATTAAAGAGAGAGAGATGGCTAAAGTATATAGGAAGTTAGCAATGGAAGATAATTTAAATATTATTTAATTCCGAGCTTTCAATTAAATTACGCAAATAAGGGCTACATGAAATATTTGTAATCTACGGGGATCAGAGAATAAAGTCTCATAACCCATATATCATACTATCTGCAAATGTATGACTATGGATCCAGATAGCAAACTGTCTACTGTGGAGCTGTCAAGCTTCAAAAGCATGTACCCAAAGGTCTACACTTTACTTCCTAAACTCAAAAATTCACACCTAGAATATCCTGAAAATGGTGACATCTATTTTTAGAGTTATGATAAACAGTTCTCTGACCTGGTGACTAAAATAATATTCTAAGCAAGGAATTCCAGCATAGTAACAACAAAAATGTTCACTGCAGTAAAACAAAATCAGCATTCACTTGAAACTCGCATAGAATGGAATAAAAGCTGCCTTAAGTCAGCCCCTACAGTTCTTTCAATATTTCCCTTAGTGGTACCCATTAATGACAACAAGCATTTCTTAGAGTAAAACACTGTCCCACCACAAATGCATTCACCACACTGCAATCATGTTCACATAAACATGTCTGCATTCATACACTATTGGTTTTATTTTCTCTATCATATTCAAGATGCTAACCACCAAAATAGTGTAACAGCATATAAGATTTGGTCTCACAGTGCTCTAACTGTAACTTACTACTTATAACGTCACATTTTAAACACTGCTTTAAGAGTTAAAATAAGCAAATTGTAACACAGGCATCTAAGAGAAACTCTTTTAATCCAGTTATTCATGACCAATATTGAAGGATACTAAAGAAACAACTAAAGAAAAGTAAAAATTTTTAATCAAAATTCAGTATTCAGAATTCTGATGTACACATGACAAAGTGAATAATGGGAAGAATTCCAGAGCATCAGGATAGGTTAAGATTTGTGCTACCCTAAAACAGATGTATTGTCTTTTCTACCTTGTGCAGAAATACAAATTTTTTAACAGCCCTTAGTGAAAATACACATCTCCATATCAAGTATATTAATGAACTAGCAGTGGATTCATAACAGCCTTGAAGAATGCACCTTAATTCCTAAGTTCCTATAAATGGTAATTTTAAACTGAAAAGGGGAAGATGAGGGTGCAAAGATGAAGTACTGTACTTTAATCGTGTGACACAGGAAGTTGGACTTTAACACATCCTTCCTTTTTTGTTTTAACATGTTACTCAGGCTGAAGACAAGTGGCTATTTGAGAGTCAGGCTCTCTTCGAAGGTCTCAAATATGGGTGGACTGAATGTTGAAGAAAAATGGGAGTTTTAGAAATGACAAACCCTTTGGTCTCTTTGATCTCTCTCTCTCGCTCTTTACCCTCTCTCTCTTTGCTCTCTCTCTCTCTCTCTGATCTCTCTCTCTCTCTCTCTCTCTCTCTCTCACACACACACACACACACACACACACACACACGGCGTCTTCACGACGTATACAGAATTGTCCTGATCGCGTTAGTGTAGCGACAAGAAGGTCCCCACCATCCCCGCACCAAATTTCAACACACACGCCCACTCCCATTCTCAGACCCCACTTCCCCACTCCCAGTCCCGCTCCCACTGGGCAGGAGGCGTGGGGAGAGCGGAGAAGGGAGAGACTCCGAACGCTTCTGTCCCCACCGGCTCGCCGTCCCCGCGCCCCCGCCCCCGCCGCGTTACCCGCCCCCTTCCCGCTTTTTACCTGCCAACAGGTTCCTAATTTCCTCGGGGAGGGGGTAGGGAGAGGAGGTGCTGCTGGGGTTGGGCATGTTAGGGAGCGCGGGGCGTGCGGGGAAAGGACCTGCGCTAAAAGGGACTCGACCGGCTGGGGTTGCGGCTGCGACCTAGACTTGGGCTAGGGGTCCCGGTAAGGACGGCGGGGCTACGAGTCCGGACACTGCCGGGCCGACGCTCACAACAAGGAAGTCACTGAAGCCCCAGCCACGGCTGCCGGACTCTCGGCCCAGCCCCGCCCGGCAATTCGGGGCGGGGCAGTGGGCGGGGAGGAGGTCCGAAGGGCCAGAGGGGCCTTAACTGCGCATGTGTAACTCTCGGTTTTCCTCGCCTCCGAAAAAGAGCCCCTGGGCAGGCCACACCCACCGCTACGTAAGGGCGCGGGAGGGGGAGCGGCTGGTGGGAAGGGAGTGGAGTGCGGCTGCATCACCTGATCCAGCGCCTGAGGTGCCTTGCGGCCATTTTTGTCACTGGTACCCCCGCAACTGCTGACCATTTCTCCACGGTCCCGGAAAATAAGGTATCCGTAGTGCCTCCAGGTTTTCCGATCGAGAGACTTCCTGGACCTTAATCAGCCCCGCCAAGGTTTAACACCTCGCCCAGTACCCCACATGGAATTTTCGACCGCCCTAAACTATTATGGCCTTCTTTGTCCGATTGCATGATGGCAACAAAGTCCCATCTTCAGCCAGTCCTCCTTCAGAAGCCAGTCTGGAGCTGCTCCAGAGAGCGCTCTGATTGGCTCTTACACTACTTTTCTACCTAATTTAGATTTTTGGGGTGACAGATTTCCCCCACTACGAAGAGAAGGGAGGTCTAGTTACAAACACAAAGCTAAATAGACACAGATACCACTGTCTACCTATAAGCATCAAAAAGAAAATTGCTGGTGATTAGTAGAATGGAATTATAAAATCTGTTCACTCCAACCTGATCGTTTAATCAATACACACTTATTGTCTCCTATCTCCAAATCTTCTTACAGGTTTTCTCTAAAAGATAGTTCTGGTGCTTTTAAAGGTGTGTGTGTGTGTGTGTGTGTATGTGTGTGTGTGTGAAAGAAAATAAGTAAATAAATAAACACTTTTTTTCTTCAGATAGGAACCGCCATGGCAAAGGTCTTTCCTAGATGCCACTATTGTATTTTGAAGATTGTATTGCAGCTCCAATAACAATGGAAATTGTTTATTCCTCTACCCTCCAACTCTCACTAGATCAATGCTCCTTAAACTTTAGTTTGCTAGAATCACATTGAGAACCTATTAACAATGCAGATTCTAAAGTCCCACTCCCAGAAATTCTGATTCTGTTTAGGATGGGACTTTACTGATTGCATTTTAAACAAGCCCCATAGGTGATTCCTTCTTGCTCCTGTAGGGCACAAAATTTGTCGTAACTTTCATCCCCACCTGGAACCCAAAACATGACACAGAGCAATGGCTCCATTAATATTTCACACCAAAAAATCTTAGACAGTAATAGTAAAAAAATTAAGTAGTCAAATACAAGTCATTTTTGTATAATTCTCTGAGAAATACACCAAATACTAATTGTAAAAGGAAAAATTAGAACATTTTGGAGTTCTCTCAAAACAAAACAAAAAAGACAAAAACTTTACAATTGAAGTAAAACGTGCAAAATAACAACAAAAAGACACCCCAAAACAAACCTATTCCCTAAAATGGAATCTGAAATTCCTACTCAGATTTAGAACTGTGATGAATTATAGAAAAATTGCTGAAAATCAGAATTCTTTTTGGTGGAGGTAAAAGTGAATAAAGAGTCATTTTACAAGGTAAGTCCTCCAACTTCAAAGAATTGAGAATTATTATTCTTAAACTACAAAATTATCTTCCTAAAGAAGGAAGAAACTATTTTATGGACATACTATATTAGTGAGGATTCTTCCTCCCTTTACAGCTATCACATACAATTCTTCATCTTGTCACACTTTTTATTAAGCCAGGCCTCCAAATGTTCCTATCCTTTGTTTCTTTCTGATAGAACTGACCAGATTTTTAAAAATTCTTACGTCTCATTTATTTATTTACACTCCACTCATTCCACAAAGGAACTGAAGTGATTTACTCTTGTATGAAATAGACAGCTTTCTGCAGTGGATCAAATGGACACTGTCTCCACTGTTCATTATGACAAGTCATTCTTGTTAGTGAGAGAAAGGAAACTATTAGGATTGCCTTAAAATATATAGCATCTAGTAGTCCAAATAAAAAAGGTAATAACAGGGCTTCCCTGGTGGCGCAGTGGTTGAGAGTCCACCTGCCGATGCAGGGGACACGGGTTCGTGCCCCGATCCGGGAAGATCCCACATGCCGCGGAGCGGCTGGGCCCGTGAGCCATGGCTGCTGAGCCTGCGCGTCCGGAGCCTGTGCTCTGCGACGGGAGAGGCCACAGCAGTGAGGGGCCCGCGTACCGCAAAAAAAAAAAAAAAAAAAAAAAAAAAAAGGCAATAACAGAAAATGGACTCTTTGTATGAAACACATTTCCCCTATTTAGGAAACCATTCTCAGACACAGGTTCATGATGGATTTACTTGGGCAATGCTTTGTATACTCTATCATTTTTACTGTTTATTGTTAAAGTTACTGAAATTGATTATAAGACACAAAGAGAAATAGAGGCTAGAAGAAATATATTCTTATTTCTCATTTCCAAATGTTTCCATAACAAAAAGTAGGAAGGAAATCAAATCATACCTTACATTTTAAGCTAGTCATATTAGGTAAAAAGGAATAATCAATGACACTTTAAATCTCAACCTGAGAGAGATAGCAGCTTCCCTACCATTATGCACAGACTGGATTCTGGAAAAATCTCATGATTTGACTTCTCAAAAGTAAATCCTTTAGTTCAAAGCAGATGTGTGTGTGTGAACATGTATATTTCCTTATTACTAAAGCTAACCTCCTTTCCTTACATCTTTCAAATTTAGCTTAGCTGAATAAGTATTTGCCCACAGGCTTAGTTTTAAAAGAATCTGAACACTGAAGAAAAAACAAGACAGTGAGCTAAAACAATTTACTTTTCTCTATCTCTCTTATCTTGATTTGGCTTTCATAGGCATGTGGAAGAAAGATTATATTTATACTTAGGCACTGTATTAGTTATCTGTTGCTACATAACAAAACTTAGCTTAAAACAAACATTTAGTATCTCACACAGTTTCTGATGGTCAGGAATCCATGATCAGTTAAGCTGGGTGGCTCTGGTCAGAGTCTCTCAGGTTACCGTCAAGCTATAGGCTGGGTTGCAGTCATCTAAAGACTCGACCATAGCTAGAGGATCAGCTTTGAAGAACGTTCACCCACAGTACTGTTGGCTGGAGCTCTCCATCCCCTTTGCTGTTGGCAAAAGGCATCAGTTCCTCACTACATGGACTTTGCAGGGCTGCTTGAGTGTCTTCTTAACATGGCATGAGCAAGTGATCTAAAAGGTATCCAAAACCAAGACAGAAGCTGCAATGTTTTTATGACTTAATATCAGAAGAGGCATAATTTACTAATGTCATATTCTATTGGTCACACAAACCAGGCCTGGTATATAGAGGGAAGGGACTGCATAAGGCTGTGAACACCAGGAGGTAAGAATCACTGGAGCCATACTGGAAGCTGGCTATCATAGTCAGCCCTTTGGTTCCCAATGATTCACATCTATCCCAGTGCAAAATACACCCATCCCCTCCCAAAGCTATGTGCAAGGTCTCATCCCATTATGGCATCAGCTCAAAGTCCAGAGTCTCATTATCTAAATCAAGTCCAAGTGTGGATGATGCTTCTTAAATAAAGCTCCTCGAGTACAGTTCTCTCAATCTAAAGACATTTCAAGTAAAAAGACAAGTTATCTGCTCCCCATATAACTTTACAACAGTGGGACAGGCATAGGATAACCACTATAGACATTCCTGTTCAGAGAGGACAGGAACAATAAGAAGTATACAGAGATTACTGATTCATAGCAATTCTGAAATCCAGCTGGGAAAATGTCGCAGGTTCTTTGATCAGGACAAAATTATACTCCCACCTGGAGTAACTTCTCCACAGATCTCAGTTCTGCACTCTGAGTCATCCTTCCTTTTCTGTGAAAGGTAGTCTATGTTTTCATTTGAACTGTTTTTGGGGTTTTTTTGCGGTACGCGGGTCTCTCACTGCTGTGGCTTCTCCCGTTGCGGAGCACAGGCTCCAGACGCGCAGGCTCAGCGGCCATGGCTCAAGGACCCAGCCGCTCAGCGGCGTGTGGGATCCTCCCAGACCGGGGCACGAACCCGCGTTCCCTGCATCGGCAGGCGGACTCCCAACCACTGCGCCACCAGGGAAGCCCATCATTTGAATAGTTTTCTTGACCTGCTTCCTGCCAATGGCCTTAGGGGATCAGAAGACCTCTTTTCATTTTGTACTGTCACTATCCCAGTTTCTATCAGGGTTCAATCAGAGAAGCAAAACCACTAGAATGGAAATAGAGATAGATAGATAATATAAAGGAATTTGTTACAGCGATTTGACCCTACACAATTGTGGAAGGTGGTTCAACTGTCTCTGTAAGGCTGTTATCTTTGCATCTGATGTTGGAGCTTGAAGTCCAACAGAGCAGAGTCAGGAAGGGAAGATGAAGGAGATTCATGACAAGCTGGAATGCAGAAGCATAGCTCATGAGGACAACATAAAACCCAAATTAGCTCTTGCTGCCTCTGACCTTGGTAGTACTTACGCCCTGCAGAAGCTGGGGTCCTTCATTGCAGGGTTAAACACACACTGGACTCATGATTCAGAGACCTGAAAGGAGGATCTAGCAAAAGATGGAGCAGTTACAGGTCTGGCTGCTGCCTCAAGCCAATGAAGTGAGCCAGAAGATAAGCAACAATATATGTGAGCTACAAAATGACTGCTCCGTCACTTCTGCAAATCTCACACAAGAATCTCTTTTGTGGCCCACCCTAACCGGAAATAGAAAAAGGAAATCCAGGAAATATAGGTTGACAGATTGCAAAGCCACCAAGCATACACTTGTATTATAAGAGTGGATTAGATAAAGGAAGCAGTTGAAATTTTGTATTTATTTTGCAGCCTAATACATTTTAAAAACTTTTAAAACCTATTATGTCCTTTAAGTCATCTAGTAAGAGCTCTTTTCAAAGTTTTTAGAAATGAAGACATGTTTTTACTTTCTAAATTTT